AGAACGACACGTGGATCTTCGTGCTGGCCGTGCTGCTCTCCAGCACCCTGATCTACAACGGCAAGGGCACCATCGACCAGCAGGCCCTGGAGAACCTGCAGTATCCTTGGTGGCCGTGGGGGTTCCCCGCTTTGTTCCCGTGGGGCGGTGGGTTTTGCACGACAGAGCTCCTCCGAGAGCCGCCTTCTGTGGGGCATCCACACCCCTGTGGTGCACAGGAGCTGCTCGGGGTCCCGCGTTGCAGGCAGAGCCGAGCTCTCATTTTCCTTACCCAGCCCCACAGCTACGTGCTGACGCTGGCAGAGTGCGTGAAGCTGACAAAGAGCCCCGGGGAGAGCGGAGCCCAGGCACCTGCAGCCGCTGGGTTGGCCCCATTCCTGCCAACCTTTGTGTGGGCAGTGCGGGATTTCATGCTGCGGTTGGAGGCGGATGGGCAGGAGATCTCTGAGGACGAATACTTGGAGAATGCGCTGAAGCTGAGGGGCGGTAGGGATGCTGAGCTGTCGGGCACGGCCGGCGCCGGGTGCTGGCAGGCAGCAGAGAGCTGAGCTGCGGTTGTTCTGTCCCGCAGGCGGCAGCCCGGAGGCCGAACGCTACGACCGCCTGCGGGAATGCATGCGACAGTTCTTCCCCGAGAGAAGGTGCTTCCTTTTCGACCAGCCCGCCAGCAAGAGGGATCTGCAACACCTGGAGGAGCTCCCTGACGATAGGATGGACCCCGAGTTCCTGCGGCAGCTGGAGAAATTCTGCAGCTACATCTGGGAGAGCTCTGCACCAAAGACCATCCCCAGCGGCTGCAAAGTAACGGGGGAGAGTGAGTGACGCTCTGGGGGCAGCGGGGCTCGGAGGAGCTCTTCTGCCTCCGTGTTCGGTGCTCCTGGGTGTTGGGTCGGGTGAGAAGGAGCAGGAGAAGCACGGGGGGATGTCGGGAGGGGCAGCAGGGCTACGGCCGCTCCCAGGGCCAAAAAAGAGAGAGCTCTGATCCCCTCCTGCCCATGGCAGTGCTGGGCACCCTGGCGCAGACCTACGTGGATGCCATCCAGAGCGGGGCCGTGCCGTGCCTGGAGAGCGCGGTGGCGGCCCTGGCAGAGCTGCGCAACTCGGCGGCGGTGCGGGAAGCTGCGGTTCTGTACCGGGAGCTGCTGGAGCAGCGGGCAGAGCTGCCCACGGAGACGGCGGAGGAGCTGCTGGAGCTGCACGAGCAGTGCCAGAAGGAGACGCTGCAGCTCTTTGCAGAACGGACGATCACGGACGACGTCGAGCGCTTCCGAGAGGAGCTTCTGGTGGGCGCTCCCCGGTTCGGCCAGCACCGCTCCGCGGCTCCGTGCTCGGCTCTGCGCCCCCCATGGGAGCTGCATCGTGCTGCTCCTTCCTGCCCCCCGTGTCCCCGACTGATTCCCGCACCTCGCGTCCCCTCACACAGCGGCAGGTGGAGGCAGCCAAGCTGGAGTTCTGCAGCCGCAACGAGGAGGCGTCCCGTGAGAAGTGCGCGGCTGCACTGCAGGAGCTCAGCAGAGAGATGGAGCAGCGCATCGATGGCGGTGTTTACTTCGTGCCGGGGGGTCACCAGCTGTTCCTGGGGGACCAACAGGCGCTGGTGGAGCGGTACCGGGCGCTGCCGGGCAAAGGGGTGAAGGTGGGCAGAGGAGCAGCCCCTGCCCAGCACGGCCGCTTCACCCCATGACTGCCACCCTCCCGCTGCCCCGCAGGCAGATGCTGTCCTGCAGGAGTTCCTTCGGGACAAGGAGCCTTTGGCCAGGAGCATCTGCAGCTCAGGCCGTGCCCTGATGGAGAAGGATGAGCAGATCAAAGGTAACGTCTGGGTTGGAGAAATGCTCCCAGCTCTGGAGCAGCGGGGGGCTGGGCAGCGACAGCACTGCCAGGGTGCTGGGGGTCCGCTCCTCGTGTGCAGTAAACTCTGCTTCTGCCACCAGATCTGCAAGCCCAGAACGAGAAGGCTGAGCAGGAGAGGGAGGCTGAGAGGAAGAGGGAGGCGGAACGACTGCGGCGGATGGAGGATCGGATTCGTGGGTATGAGAAGGCAGAGAAGGAGAGGGAGGCTGAGAGGGAGAGGGCGGCAGAAAAACTGCAGAAGATGGGGAACTGGGCTCGCCGCTTTGAAGAGAAAGTGCTTCGTCGGAGAAAGAGACTGGATGAGGGCAAGCAGAAATTTCATTTCGAGGTACGGAGCAGCACTGTGTGCGCTGATCTGCAGCATCAACAGAGGGGTCTCAAACAGGTTTGCTTCTCATCCCCAGGGTGGGCACCGCAGAGGTGGTTTCCAGCAGCAGGACACCAGGAGAAACTGGGCTGCTGCTATAGTGCCAGTGCTGGGTACTGCACTAGTAGTGGCAATTTTCGCACTCAGACTTGTGCTTTAACATCATTGATGCTTCACTCAGAACATTGGCAGTACCTGTGGTTGCATCACTGCCAGGAAGTGGTTTTGTGCTCTCGTAATTTGAAGTGATGGGATCTTGTGGTGGGATGTAACTGCTGGTGAATGTGTCAAATTTCTGACCATCTACTCGAGGAATTGCTGTTCATCTACTCAGGGAATCGCACTCCTTGCTTTGCTCAGGCACAGGAGTCGACAGTAGCTTTGAAAAGAGTGACCTTCATGTTTCTGTACTCTTTGCATTTCTTTGGAGTTGTGCTTTGCTTCTGAAAATGCTAGTTTAAGAAGAAAATAAAAAAGATGCCTAATATGAACTGGTGTCTAAAGCAGCCGAGTGTTTTGCCACCACTGACGCTGCCAATGCCTTCTTTTCCATTCTTTTGACCGCAGAACGTAGGTCACAGTTTGCTTTCCCTGGGAGGGGCATTCGGTATGCCTGAAATCGTTTGCCCCAGGGGTGGAAATGCAGCCCCAATCATTTACTAAGGGCAACTGAACAACAACGAAAAAGCCATCGGGTCAGATGGAGCTGCCAGAATTGAGGTGGCTCAAATAGACCTGGGCTGGCAGAACAAAAGCTCGGTGGGCCCGTGAGACCTCGGGCCATCAAGGAAGAGATGCACCATATAAGTGGGCTGGAGACCGAGGGGTGGACTGAACTATGGGCGCTATTGCACAGGTTATTCATGACTGTGGCACAATCAAACAAGGCAAGAGGATGAAACCTCTGTGGGTGGAAGGGCGATGGCGAAAGTGGAAACGTGGGGAGTTGTGGCAGGTTGATTCCATCGCCTTGCCACGATCTCGCGGTGGTGCTGTGTGCTCACCGTGGTGGAGGCAACCGCTGGCTACGCAGTTCCGAAACACCATGTGGGGTCTGCAGAGGCAAATCCTGCGGCGACGCGGCACTCCAGAAAGCACTGAGTCACGTAACTCGTGTCAAAAATTCTCCTGTGGATATTTGGGCCAAAGGCGATGGCATCGAGTGGGTTTATCGCATCCCCCATCGTGCACCAGCCTCCGGTAAAATCCAACGCTACAACGGGGTGTTAAAAGCCATGAGGAAAGCAATGGGTGGCAGAACGTTTGAGCACTGGGAGAAGTATTTGGCAGAAGGCACTTGGTTGCTCAGCACTCAAGGATCAATCAGTCCTACCCAGCCCAGCTCCCTGCATGCTGTAGAGGGAGACGAGGTCCCTGCGGGATGTGTAAAAAGTTGGGAAAAGCAGTTTGGGTCCTTCCAGCCTCTGGAAAGGGAAAGTCTCTCCGTGGAAATGCTTGTGCCCAGGGAGCTGGGTGCACCTGGTGGGGGCTGGAGATAAGTGGGGATGTTCAGTGTGTGCCACAAGGGGATCTGGTGCTGGGGGAGCGCAGTGAGTAACTCCATGTGTGTGCATATAGACGTGTGTGCGCAATGCCTGTTAATTACTGCTCGTTTGTGTATTTGTATTTATATGAAGCGGGATGTATGATGTAGAATAAGGGGTGGAATGTCATGGTTTTATGATTTATCGGCATTCCAAATCATAACTTCATGTGGGGTTAAAGAGTTAACAGCCCACTTCCATGGACTGCTGATTTTCCCAGTACCTGGCTCTAAGAACTGCACTCCAGAGCAGTGATGACTTGGAGTTGGTTGGTTGCCCTGATCCCTGTGGCATCCATTTGTCCTGCTGTGTTTTGCTCTATAGACAGAGATGTTACAGCAGATGAGGTCCTACTTGATAGAAAGATGTGTCAACCCAAATAACTTTCTCCAAAATGCAGATGTTTCTTTGACAGGGGGCTCCTACATCCCCGAGAGGACAGCACACCTCTCCTTACCAACAGACATCTCTAGAAGTGCTAGATTTCACGCCTAGAAATTTGGCCAGAAAGCCAAAGCAGTGGATCTATTGCCCCCCGAGCCTTTGGAAAACCATAAAGCTGAGTGATGACTTCATCTTTAAAGGATATTTACTCAAACTTCTCAGTCAGGACAGAATTCACGTCCTCCTTTCACTCCTCCCTCCTTTGGCCCCAGGAGCCTCCAGGTGAGAGATTTCCTTGGAGAGGGTTGAAGAGAGGAACTTAAATGGTTTTCTTCTCAGAGCTGCTTTCTGCTGTGGGGCTGTGAGCACGCTGCTCTGTGCACCCATTACCCAGCAGAGCAGTTCTCACTTAGGCAGGGAATAGCTAGACAGGACTGGACAGCATTATACAGAGCAAGTGTTGGAAGCTCTGCATTCGACTTTTCTTCTGAAGTCTGTGCCCTAACACATCCCTGCTGGGGAACGCAGATACTGAGGAGATAAAATCATACAGCTCTTCCATAAAGAAAAAATTAGACCTGCAAATACAGAAGAGGTAAATATTACAGCTTATCTGGATTCCTTCTGTTTTTTCTTACACTCCTTCCCTTCCCTTCCCTTCCCTTCCCTTCCCTTCCCTTCCCTTCCCTTCCCTTCCCTTCCCTTCCCTTCCCTTCCCTTCCCTTCCCTTCCCTTCCCTTCCCTTCCCTTCCCTTCCCTTCCCTTCCCTTCCCTTCCCTTCCCTTCCCTTCCCTCCCCTTCTTCTTCCCCTTCCCTTTCCCCTTCCCCCTCCCCTTCCCTTCCCCCCTTCCCCTTCCCCTTCCCTTTCCCCTTCTCCTTCTCCTTCTCCTTCTCCTTCTCCTTCTCCTTCTCCTTCTCCTTCTCCTTCTCCTTCTCCTTCTCCTTCTCCTTCTCCTTCTCCTTCTCCTTCCCCTTCTCCTTCTCCTTCTCCTTCTCCTTCTCCTTCTCCTTCTCCTTCTCCTTCTCCTTCCCCTTCCCCTTCCCTTTCCCCATCCCTTTTGTCTCCCTTCCTCTTCTCCCTTCCCCTCTTTCCCCTTTTTCCCTTTCCCTCAAACAGATGTGAAAATAAAAAAAGCACCTTTCACAACCATTATTAACTCTCTGCCATCTTTCACCAGAGCCATGCATGTGCAGGGCTGGTCCTGCAACCCTGCTCAGACCATTTGGGTTTTGTCCTTTTGTTGGCCACGAATCCCATAAGGTTTTAGGGAAGAATGCATGCAGTAAGGAGAAGGTAAACATTTTTAATCCTTTCTGAAAGGTCAGCAGTTCCACGTTGTGTTTGTTTCGTTTTGCAGGTGGTTGAATTACATCATCCGCCAGTGACGTCCTGGAAAAGATCCTTGAAGGGGTAGGACATAACTTTTGGGAGTCCTGTACTGAATTTGTCATTTCTGGTTCTGTAAAGTCAGCGGTGCTGCAGAGGTTGAGTTCCCTGCATCGTTCCATGCTCAGGGCTCACCTGCACACTCAGGGGGAGCCGACTGTGGTTCGATGCTCATTTTGAACACCAGCTGACTTAGGAAGGTCAGCAAACTAAAACACATTCGATTCAGGCAATAATTTACTTCTAAGATGTCTATTTCTGGGTTAAATTCCATGAAGAGTTTGCATCTACTGGTTTCTAGGGCTGAAGGAACTCTGATGGAGCTGGAGATATTAATGCCTTTTTTAAGATGACGTTTACTTCTTTACTGCTGGGGGGCAATGATTGGAACCAACAGAAGCAAAGGAGCCCCACCTTCTGGAAAGAGAACCTGCAGAGATTCACAGGTGCCTGCAAACACGGAATTCAACCACAACACAAAGAATAGAGCGGCATCAGTGATTTCCAGTGGGTGATTTCCAGGGCATGAAAATGGTTATTTCTCTGAAGCTTTACCTGGCGACAGTTGAAGCCCTCCTGGTCAGTGCAAAAAGAAGTGGTTCGGTAAAGGAGTCCAGCTCAGCCACTCTGCCTCTGCAGAGGGATCTGCCCTGACTCCTCCCAGATGCCTGCATTCAGCAGACACGGACCTGTGATAATGGCCCAGAGCTCAGCAACAGGTGAAATGCATCAGCGCTGGTCAGACGGCTTGAAAAGATCCTTTCGTCCCTCCTTCCTCACCAGAAGCAAGATCAGTACTGAGATTTAGAGTAAGATAAATGCTGAAGTGTGACTAAATAATGTTTTGACGTTTCCTCCATGACAGGTAACTCCCCCAGAACTCATTTTTTCAGCCCATGACATTGCAATTTTTTTTCCCCAAAAATGTGTGTATGTAAGAGAGATTTTTTTCCCCCCTGCGTAGTTTCATTTCCCTTCTAAATAACAATTCAAAGACTATTTATTCTTACAGAATTAATCGGTGTTCCAAGTGATATTTGCAGTCCTCACAAAGGCGTTCTCCTTACAAGGGTTGTAATCATAACCTTGGGCTATAATGGGGGAAAGCATCCTGCCCTGCACCCCTGCCGTGCCTCACACTGTCCTTCCTGTAGTACAAGGTAGGCTCAGTCCTTCGCAACCCCAAAGCACCAGGACGAAGCAGCACAGTGACAGCAGCACGGTGGCAGCCATGGCCGAAGTTTCACTCGAGGAGAATGAAATATCCAGGGGAAAAAAACAGGGAAAGCCAATCATTTTGTAGGGTTCATAGTAATCCTGTGTGCTTCCTGGAGCACAGGGCTGATGAGGAGAGGCTGAAGGAGCTGGGAATGTTCAGCCTGGAGAAGAGGAGCTCAGGGGAGACCTCACTGCTCTCTATGGCTGCCTGAAGGGAGGCTGCAGGGAGCTGGGGGTCGGCCTCTGCTCTCGTGTCATCAGTGATAGGAGCAGAGGGAACGGCTTCAAGCTACGGCAGGGGAGATTCAGGCTGGACATGAGGAAGAATTGCTGTTCAGAAAGGGTGGTCAGGCACTGGAATGGATGCACAGGGAGGTGGAGGAGGCACCGAGCCTGGGGGTGTTGAAGGAAAGACTGGATGTTGTGTTGAGGGACGTGGTTCAGTGGGAGCTTTGGGAACAGGTGAACGGTTGGACTGGACGAGCTTTGAGGTCTTTTCCAACCTTGGTGATTCTATGATTCTATGATTCTATGATTCTATGATTCTATGATTCTATGATTCTATGATTGTAGTCTCTGGTACAGAATTTGTGGTGGTGATGACGATGATGATGGCTCACCTGTCCTTGCTTTTCCTTGTGCACAGGCTGCATGCTGTGTATGGCTGCCCAACCGACCAACATGGGGAATGCAAGCAGTGTGAAGGAGTTCGTCCTCATCGGCCTCTCTGGGAGCCCAGGCGTGCAGGAGGTTTGCTTTGTGATGTTTCTTTGCTTCTACACCATCAACGTGGCGGGAAATCTGCTCATTATTGTCACCATGATCAGCAGCCAGCGTCTGAACTCCCCCATGTACTTCTTCCTTGGCTACCTGTCCTTTGTAGACATCTGTTACTCCTCCGTCACGGCTCCCAAAATGATTGCCGACTTCCTTGTGGAAAACAAATCCATCTCCTTTGTGGGCTGCATAGCACAGCTCTTCGGGGCCCATTTCTTTGGCTGCACGGAGATCTTCATCCTCACAGCGATGGCCTACGATCGCTACACGGCCATCTGCAGGCCTCTCCACTACAGCGCGCTGATGAGCCGGCGCGCGTGCGGCCGCATGGTGCTGGGCTCGTGGCTGGGAGGCTGCCTGCATTCCGTCCTGCAGACTCTGCTGGTCGCTCGGCTCCCCTTCTGTGGCCCCAACAAAGTTGACCACTACTTCTGCGACGTCCACCCCCTGCTACGCCTGGCCTGTACCGATACCTACGCCGTCGGCCTCGGCGTCACCGCCAACAGCGGGATGATAGTTCTGAGCTCTTTCTCCGTCCTGGTTGTGTCTTACGCGGTGATCTTGGTCTCCTTGAGAAGCCACACATCGGAAGGGCGGCGCAAGGCCCTCTCCACCTGTGGGTCCCACATCGCCGTGGTGGTTCTGTTCTTCGGGCCGTGCACCTTCACCTACGTGCGTCCATCCAGTGACCTCTCGGAGGACAAGATCGTGGCGCTGTTTTACACCATCGTCGCCCCCATGCTGAACCCCCTCATCTACGCTCTGAGGAATAAAGAGGTCAAGAGTGCCGTGAGAAAACTGTGGGGTGGAAGAGTAGAAAGTGAAGAGGGAAAGGTGTAGAACTGTGGCCAGTTTTCCCGAAGGATCTTTCACCATGATGTATTCGGTCATTGCCACAAAAAATGGTGCGTGCTGTGCATGGCTGCCCAACCCACCAACGTGGGGAATGCAAGCGGTGTGAAGGAGTTCGTCCCCATCGGCCTCCCTGGGAGCCCAGGCGTGCAGGAGGTTTGCTTTGTGATGTTTCTTTGCTGCTACACCATTAATGTGGCACGATGTATTTGGTCAGCATTGCCACAAAATGCCTTTTGAATAAAAGCTTGTTGTTCACTCACACCGAAGGCTCGTCTTTGGGTTTGGAGGGCATTGCAAACCCTGTGGCAAGCTGACATTTCCCCTCTGTTCTCTCGTCCATGAGCACAGGCCCCCAGTGGGGCTCCTGGGCACAACCTGAAACACCAGCAAATAGATAAACGCTATCAGAAATACTGAGCATGCTGTAGGATCTCAATGGGCTCTCAGTTAAAGCTCTGACACGAGGTGCCAGCAGGGTCATTTGCTGAGGCAGTGATGGGAATGAAGGCTTTTCCCTTTCCTCTGCAGTGCACCAACTCTTTTCCTCAGTGCCCCACGTGGCACTGATGCCGCCCTTCCCACCACCATCTCTACCCTTCAGCTCCAGCTCAGATTCTTTCTTTTAATTATGGGCAAATAAAATAATTAAACAAAGTCACAGATCTACTGCAGGATGTCTTGCTGACTGCAGAAAATGAACTAACTGCCAAAGAAGGCAGTGGAGACACAGCTTCATGTCTCAGTGGTTTGGAAACCTCTCCCACAGACGGGGTGATTCCTACCCACATTTACACACAGCAGGAAGGGGCACATTGTGCACAGAACAGCTGCTGCAGGAGGGAAGAGGAAAGGTGTGAGGACAAAAGACCAAAGCTGTCACAAAGTGATGAGCTGCAGCCGCTTGACACCCCAGCACAAGTGGGATTTCAGGTTACCAGGGGTTCCTATCCCAAGCAGGGGGTTATAACTTCATACTATATATTTTTTAATTGCTTTGTGATGAACAACACCAGGAGCATTCTGGGTGTCCCACTTTTGGGTACTGCTGGACAAAACCTCATCCCTTTCAGAAAGTGAAAATAGCATTTACTCCTCTGCATGTTGCTGAGGATCCTTACAAGAGCCTGAAAGGCCGAACAGCTCTGCGCTTTGCACTGAGATGAAATTCCCACTGAGCAGCAAGGGCTGACCCTGCCTTTCTAAAATTTGGAATTATTTCCTGCTTTACTTCTTTTCAATTTTTCCTTCCAAATTTGTACAGGCTGGACGTCCAAGGGATGGCAGCTCGTAACACAGTGGTGACACTGATTTGTTCTGTTAGCAGGCAGTGGTAAGAACAAGGTAGTAAGGAAATATTAAGTCAGGACTGAAAGTAGAACTTAATGTCACGTTTATGGGACTCCTTTGCTACAAGAGCAAAGCTAGGATAAATAAAACTCTTGCACACAACTGTGAGGTTTATCTGAGCCACAAATGCTTCTAGTCGAGCTGACCACGCTCCAGCCCTCACTGCAATCTGTTGCACACTTTTATCTCCTTGCCCACCCCCAGCAAAGAAACCTTCTGGGATCCCATTGCTCCTGGCAGCCTTGTGCTTCTCCTGCATTGTTTGAAATATTTCCACAGCAGTTTTCCCATCTTGCAGCGGAGATCTGCTCTGCAAGTTGGGTCCTGCAGGAAGATGAGAAGCGAGGAAGGCAGGGCTGGGCTGCTCCTTGCAACTGCCACAGTTTGTAGTGCTGCAGGTCTAAGAGCAACGTGCAGCTGGGCCGCCAGGATGGAAGTGGTCAGGAGTCATCAGAGGAGCAAGTGAACGCTTAGGGTCTGACAAATACAAACCGTGTGAGCTCTCTAACCGCTCAAGCACAGCCGTGAAATTCTGCCTTTAGAAGCAGACAGTTGGGTTGGAAGACTTTTGTGAGGTCTGCTGTATGAATTAGAAGGAGCCTTCACTGCAGTTTCTTTACCCCTTGTGTTGTTTGGGTGGTTTGGGCTGCAAGTCAATTCCCCCACAGTCATTTGCATGGTGCCAAAAGCACTCAGAGGTTAACGAGTCCTGCACTGTATCACAGTCAGACAGACAACAAGGAGCTGCTGCATCACGTGGGAGGACTGAGAAGGACAGTACATCTCTTTGGGCTGGGACCTCCCTTGGGACACACCGAAAATGGTGGGAGCTGAGTTGTAGCTGCACCATCCCTTCTGGTCAACTTGGGGGTTGGACTCGGTGATCTCTGGAGGTCCCTTCCAACCCCTACGATTCTGTGAACACTGAGTATTATCTGAATATGAATATTTTGCTCTGGAGATGTGACAAAGAGATATAATTTGGACTGAAGTACTTATAAACAATACTGTAATTTAAAAAAAAAACAAAAAACACAAACATTAAATTGCCACATTTTAATGCAGATAAGCTTTTCTTACCCTTCTTTATCTTTTATAAATAACAGGGCATAAGAGAGGCACTAATTTAGTAACTTGAGGAAACTTCCAGCAACCGAAAAAATCAAGAATTGAAGAGTTTGATTAGTAGAAAGTAAGGAAAGAAAGCTGGTGCCCACTTTGAGCCTTTCCCTCCAGCCTTCAACAGAGGAGAAAATTCAGGCAATTAGATGCAAATTAAAAACATGTTATCAGTGCAAGTGTCGAGCTGAGCTTCCCAACTCTGAATCAAACATTTGATCACATCACCATTAAAGGATCCTGGGGAACCAGCATGACTGTTTCTTGTGGGCTAAGACCAGACTGGGCTTCTGTCTCTATGGAGGACATGGGGAAAACATGCCTTAGAAAGATACATGGCGCCTCATATGCTTATATTAATACCAGTTAATACCAGGACACTTACGCTCATTCCCATGAGAAGTGCAAATAAATAGGCTGACCAAGCCCTCAGGAAATCATCTGGAGTTTAAGTATCAATTTCTGCTACACCAGGAGTGACATCAGCAACACTGAGAAACCAAACTAGTGGAATGTGTCCCTGCCCACAGAGGGGGAGGGCAGAAATAGATGATCTTTAGGGTCCCTTCCAGCTCAAAGCACTTGGTGACTCATTCCGTGATTCTAAGATGATGTGAAACATTCTGAAAGGCAAATGGACCTGAGGCAAGTGTTAGAAGCTGCTTCAAAGTCTGCAAACTGACATCATGGTCACAAGCAGGGAGCTAGTGGTCTTTTTCAGGAAAGGTGAAATGAGGAGCATTCCTGAAGGTGCTGTTTCTACCACTGTGCTCAGAGAAGCAGTCTGAGCTTTCTATTACGAGCTTCAGTAACACATCCTGAGTCGGACATCAGCCGCTATTCCCCAAGAGAAGCATTGATTTTAAATGGAAGCTGTCCCAAAAAGGCATCAAAGGAAGACCTGCTGTAGGGAACCTGCTTTGGCAGCGGGTTGGACTTCGATGATCTCTGGAGGTCCCTTCCAACCCCTACAATTCTGTGATTCTGTGAAGAATGATTCGTATTTAACATATGGGTGCTGAATACGTCTGTGTGGGGATAACGCCCCGCATCGAACGCCGCCGCTGGCAGCTCCTTTCTGTGCCTCAGGCCCTGTTTATTTGGTGTCTATAGAGGACAAACCCGCTGATGGAGTTCACCCCGTTGGACTCAAGCACGATAAGGCAGTGGCAAAAGCACACTCCTCATTCTGCCCTCTCTTCTCTTGGAACCTACACCCAGGAGGGGAGTCAACTCTTCAAAAGGGCTGACAACAGCAGGACTAGGGGAAATGGATCCAAGTTGAGGGAGGGAAGATGGAGGTTGGATGTTAGGGGGAAGTTCTTTACAAGGAGAGTGGTTAGGGCCTGGAACGGGCTGCCCAGGGAGGTTGTGGATGCCCCGTCCTTGGATGTGTTCAAGGCCAGGTTGGACGGGGTTCTGGGCAACCTGATCTGAATGTGTGTGTTTGGTGGCCCTGCTGGGCAGGGGGGTTGGAACTACATGATCCTTGAGGTCCCTTCCAACCCGGGTGATTCTGTGATTCTGTGATTCTCTACCGTTTGTGGATCCCTGCTCATCGCCATCACTGTGAGGACCATGAGCAGCTGGACTCTCCACGTCCTTCTTGCTGAGCTGCTTGTGCTTACAGACATGTTCTTCTGCTGTAAGAGCTCCCAGACTCATCCATGACCTTCTTGTTGATGGCAGGACCATCTCTTTTGTGGGCTGCCTTGCTCAGTGCTGGTTCTCAATGCTATTTCTTTGAGGTCTTCCTTCCCACGGTGACGGTCCACGAGTGCTGCAATGCTGCACATGAGCTGCTTCATTTCGCAGATAAACACATTTCATACAATAGAGAAAAGGAAGGGGGGAGAAGAAGGATAATAGTTACGACCATCATAAATCTGTATGGGTATACATACAAAACCAGTGATGCATGAGCGACGTCCAGCAGCTCCCTGAGCTGTGGACACCCCCAGGCCAAAGCCCCTGAGTTTTACAGCTCCTCACATGGCACCATAGGAGATCTGAGATCCCTCTGGCCAGTTCAGCCTCAGCTCACTGTGCCCTATGCCTGCTGCCATTGTCACTGCTGCCATTGCTGGGGCCGCGTGCCTCCATCCCTGTGCACCCATCAGGCACCTTCTCTGTGCACCCACCTTCTCAGCAGACAGATGATCTCCGCGTTCTGCCTTCGCACAGATAAACACTGTGATACGCAGAATCCTGAAGTTAGCAATAAAATCTGCTATCAGGTGTGAGTTTCATCATTTGCTGATGCTGATGGCAGGAGCAGAATCTTTCCTCCTTCCCTTGCTGCTGCAATTTCCAGTAATATTACTTACTATTATTACTGCTTGGTGTCAGGACCATGATTTGAATTCTTACCAGGCTGACAGCTCACAGCTTTCCTACCGTAGCAAGTCTGAACACTCTCATTTGGATTTGGTGCTTCCCCATAAAGGTGCAAAAGGAGGCAGTGCTGTTAAGAACAGTTTTCCCAGCTTTATTCAGACACTGGATGCAGTTTGGAGCCTTGGCTGGTGCTCCGGAGCCGCGACCCGAGCGCCGTGGCTGGGAGAGGCGTCTCGGCGGCAGTACGGGGTTCAGCCTCTCTCCACTCCAATGAACCCCCCTGAATGCTGGCAGCATTTCTCACCTTCTTAATAAAAAACATCACGGTTGGGCTTTTCCTCTGCTCTTTCCAGCAATGAGACCCAAGCATCTCTAACAGGGATAGAGCCTCCTGCCCGCCTAGGCACAGAAGTAAGCCTCTAAGTGCTGGAGTTC